TTGGTGTGCGCGCAACTGTTTAAGACCTTCTTCACCCTACTTGCCCCTGGATCCTGCCGCCAGTAACAACTTCAAGGTCCAAGATGTGCGGTGTCGGAAAACATCGTAAAGATAGAATGCTTTTTTTTTCAGCAAATGAGCATGCCTTACGTTCATCAGGTTTTCGCCGAACCTTGGCCTGCTGTGTTTACGTCAAGGCCGACTGGTGCAGCGCCCGACATGAGCCTCAAAGAGATGGAATTCCGATAGTTATTGCCAAGGCCTAGGGGAGAAGCCTGCAGCCCGACGGTGCTCAAAATGCGTAGGCAGTTTGGAAGGTCTCGGAAAGTTGTGTGCAAGGAGCATCTAGGCAGAGAAGGGGAGGGGAGAGAAATTCGAATACTACCAATAACTTTGTCGGACCTGGTTATTTCGTTTTCTCTGAGAATATTTGTTCCGATGGGGGGAAATAATTCTGTTGAACGATTACGTAACGGTCCTGTTTGGTGAGCCCATTATGAACCGGATGCAAAGCAGTCTTCCTGCGAGCTATCTCGAATGCGGCGGTTTGGCCTACTTGTTTTATATCTGTCCCCCTCAAACTTCATCAGCAAGCCTCAACTTGACGCTGTTCAAAAGCTACCTATTGATGACCAAAATCGGAACTGGAATGCCCTTCCTTGCAGCCGTCCCTTTTTCTGTACTACAGACGACAGTACGCACTGTGTGGGCGCATTATTTCTGCTCGTTTAACTTCGCAATTGTTAGTCTTGACGGAATGCCTGCATTTTCGATATTTCAATTTTAGAGGGTGACGAAAATGCGTCGTCGATTGGACGATCCAGGACTTTTATCCGCAGACATAATGCTGAACATGTTCCTCTCCTATCTCAAGGCCGAAGTGAGTCGTCCTAGTCCACGTTTACGTCCAGTTCTCTGTGCTGTGCTTGCCTTAATTTCCTTTATGCAAAATGCGATCAGTAATCTCGACCAATTACGCCAACCCAGTTCAGTTGGACGGGTCCATCATGCTAAGTCTAGTAGCTCTGGGTGTCGGGGAGTGCGTGATCGCACTGAAACGCGCCTGTTCAAGATTGCCGGGCTCCTTTTATAAAGAAACAAGCGGATTACTTACAAATCGGACGACTTTTTGCCACCGTCATGGTCACTGCTGCTCAAGAGTAATATGTCGTCAATTTTCTCCGTCTCGGATCTGCAAATGACGATATTTCTATTTTAAGCCTTTCAGCGTCCACAGCAGTCCTAAAAGGCTGTGTTCATTAGTTCATTTCTTCGCCTGTATATGCAAGTAGGCGAGCCACGTATACGAAATCGGTGTGTGCTCAACAAAATCTCCATCTAAACGTGCCAATACATCTAATTAGACCATTGTTCAACGTTACGATGGGCTCTTGATGTATTGGATACATTCCGAACGCCCCCGTATTTTTCTTGACGCTATCAAATTGGACAATTGTCCTCACCGACCTGACTGCCATTTCTGTGTACCGTCAATTCGGGCAACTTCAAGTTACATGACACATCACGACCCTTTGATCCGGCTTGAACCATGTGTTAATTGTGTATGAGATTACTTCAGCCCTTCCTCTTCGAACCGCCTTGGCAGGACGACAAGAGCAACCTCATTGTGTAATTGCAACAACTCGATGTCATCCTATATCACAGTGAGCTGTTACCGTACCAGGATTCTTTTCAGTCGATTATGCTGCTGAACTGTCATCATCCTGCTCATTGATTAAGATACCCCAGTTTCTTAACTGAATGCGACATTTCGGACGAGCTCGGACTCAACAGCCATCAGCCAAAAGTGGCGATTCCGTAGTCCTGGCTGCAGGCTGGTTGCATATAACGGGTCTCGCTTGTGATCCACTCTCCCTTCAAGGTTGCCGGCTGGTTTTTCTGAAACGGAGTTGAGCACGCTGCCAGGCGTTTTATCTTCCATTTCTACCCGAGTCTTGGGTTATCACGAGGGTAATTGCGCGGTCACCGATGCCGGTTCGAGTTAGTGGGTGCTGTAAAATCTGGTGGACTGCCTAGCGTTTATTTTGGTAAACTTGCTTTTTCCTCACCGACACGTTCCCCCTTCGTTTACTTAAACGACCCAAAGTAGCTTTTCTTGACTGGGATCGCATAAAAATAACAACTTAAGAGTTTCCAGCAATTTCACACAAAGCAGACTTCATACTCACCTTGTCTGGAGCCAGTAAAACGTTCGTAATCCCTTTTTGAGTGGTTTCGGTTACAGAAGTTACCCTAATGTTTGATTGTTTTTCTGTTTCCTCAAAAACCCGTCGCCAACAGGTCACGGAAACCTCTTTATAACTGCAATCGAGCTCCTCTCGCAATTCGTACGGCTATCTTCTGTCGATATCGTCCCAGCACCATCTTCTAATACGCTTAGTTCATCTGTAGAATACACCTCGACATCTTGACAGATCGGGCAGTGTTCAGGAAGTGAGTTAGTTAAATGGAATGTGCAAAACGCATTATTGAATGTCGAACGGATATGAGAGTTTGCTCTGGACAGCAGTGTAGCGATAGCGGCCCAGAATGCAGCAGTACTTCTTACCGCCTAGTTCCATTAGCCGTTACAGGGATTCGCACGGAGTGGAACTGCAAATTGCAACGAAATCAGCAAAACAGACTGTCGCTGTTGTTGGTAGTTACGGTGGTTGGTTCATTCAACTCCAACTCAGAGTGCGACCTATTTCTGTCTGATCATTGCACTAATATCATCCAGCAGACATGCAGCCTGTACCAGCTTGTTTCCCTGTAATTTTTCTAATTTTTTTACAGTAGTCTCAGGGGCTTCTCTTCCCACCCCCCGCATCTGTATGTGTGTATTGCACCTTTTAGGACTATGGAGAAATGGTCCGTCTGGTGGAAGACATCGAAGCCCTTCATACACATCAAAGTATGATTAGTCTTCCTGCCATCCAGTACTACTATGCATTTGCTTTGAATCGCCGCAACGGGAAGGGCGACCGAGAAAAGGCCCTTAAAGTAATCAATGAGGTACGTGATCCCAGTAAAGTTCTTCCGCCTATTTTTCCCAAACGACATTTCGACCGTCGCAAGCGACGAGGCCAAGTGCCGTCCCGAGGAAGGCGCAGCGGTGACTATTTATAGTGAAAAAGAATTGTGTTACGTTTACCTCACTCTGTTTCTACACTCATCATCTTCCAATGATAAGGAAATGCCAACATGGGATATGGGCTCGGGCGCCGTGCCCAACAACGCCAACCAACCCATCTACGCCTGCTACACACCTGCAGGTCCCAAACTCAGAGGAAGAAGGGGTCCGCATAAGGATAAAGTAACACAAAAGTCGCACTAATAAGCCGCTACAGTCTAACTCAGTCTTCATCAGGAATGAGTCAGTCCGTCAGTTAGAGAACCTCCAGTGTACGGTTGTTAGTGCGTAATGATAATCGTAGAGCACCTTTACTTATTTATCATGAAAAGACTAGGCGTTGGATCTGAGCTGGATCGACCTCGCCCTGTCGTTGTTCCCCATCCCGTACCAGCGGCAACTCCTTATCGAACTAAATGGAGATGAGATTGTACGCCGTGGCCGACGAGGTGTAGAGCCACCGTCCGTCACGTGCCACCTACAGGTCAGAATCCCACTTGAATTGGCGGTGTCATAAAGCTCACATTAAGAAGCTATTGCAGTCAGACCCTCGCTCCAAAGGAGATTCGAACTGTCCCATCAGACAGCAACCTGCCAGGCTATTGTTTTTTTGTGGTGGAGAATATTGTGAAGTATCGTGAGTAAGAATACCCCAGAACTCTCCTCACTGTCCTGTTTCGTATGCACCCAGTGGTTTGTCTACGTGCGGATCTGCTGCGGTCACAGTGGCTGCCATGGCGTAAGTCCTCCGCCTAGCGCATGCAATATGCGCAATATAGTCGCCTGTCCTCACGACAGTGTCAAACCACACAGTCCGGATTACGCATGAGCAGTTGGTGTTGTTTTAGCACGCGTGAATGATTAGACAGGTACATGCGGTGACTGAAGGTGCTGGGTTTGTGTGGTCACAAGTGTTGAATGATATTATAGCGATCAGTATTGTGTATTTGCATGCGCTCAAATGGGCCCTTGCGATGGTGAACGTGTGCGTACAGAGTGCACAGGGCTGTTGACCGGGGCACCCGACGCTGATTCCACGGTCGTTCTGCGGTGACTTATTTTTGTGTTTGTCCACATTAATACATGATTGAAATGCGTTGTCACCATGTGGACATGTTCGCGCTATGTCGGGACCTCTGGTAATTACTGTCTGGATCCTGAATTTCCCCCTCTTTGACGGCTACGTGGGTTTCCAACAAGGGCTAACTGAGACGGGAGATCGGTATTGCGGTTAGGACAGATGCGCGTGAGGGGGTTCGTCCACGATGGTGGTGTTTTGTTATGTCGGGTATGGGTTGGTGGTGCTTCAATTTTGGCTGAATCCGAAGATACCTAACAAGGTTGAGCCTGACCATTAGCGGGCATCGACAGGGGTCAGGCGTTGGTGGCGTTGGTTCGCTTCACATCACTGTGGCTTGAATTGTAACTGTGCACCGGCCTCCTTTGTTTGATTGTTATGCCGATATCTGCTTTAATTCTTGCTGTTGTCCGTCATGGCCTTTGGCTCTGTTCAAGTATTTTCCTGGTCTTGTGGTTACCTTGGGAGTACTTGCAGGAAGTGTTGCGGTGTTTCTGCCCACCCTGTCTGCGAGCACCCGTAACGACCTCTCCACAGAAGGGTCACTGTGACTGGCGCTCGTCCGCCCTCTTCACAATGGGATGATCCCCGCGAAGTTGGATCTACTTCAGCATGACGTGGATGCCGAGTACGTCAGTTCTTTCCAGGACCTGGGTGTTTGCGTTTCGCCCTCGTGATTTTACCTTTAATGTTCTCCGAGGACAACTTGGGTAGAGTGGGTTGAGCTCCATCGTTTGACTTTGGTAGACTGCCTAACACCACGAAAGTGTCCTCAGGATGACAGCCCTGTACAACCTGAATTTCGTGTTCAGGCGGATCTCACGGCGATCTCAGATTGGGCATTATCGTCTGCCAAAAGTCCTCGATTTTTATGGTCCATGTTTAATCCGTTGCCCTTATCTTGTCTCGAAGGTTTCGTAATACCACGTTCGATATTAAAAGCACTAACCAATGTCTCTAATCCCCATCTTGCCGGTGGATTCTACCATCATTCCTTTTTTCCCTTAGACCTGTTCTTTTACTGTAACCAAATCAGGCAATTCGGGTCTCGCCCATTTCTTGCCGATTTTGAATATGGTTATTTGGTCTTCGGTTTACCTTCTAACAGGTCCTCCGAACCTGTGAAATTCCCTCGCCTGACATGTACGGCCTTGTGGGGCGTATTCACAAGGACCGTTTCATCGAGTCAGGCTGTACTGACAAGGAAGCCCTAAAATTGGCCATCGACGGTTATCGGCGAGGATTTGAAAGACACAACAACGAATACTTGGGTGTTAATCTGGCCACCCTCCTAGTCATTGACGGAGCTGATATGTCCTCGGGTCAGGAGCTGCAGTTCGTCTGTGAGTAAGCCGTCCATGCACTCCTTTTCTTAAAGGTTCTCAACTTGCGCCTGTCCGCTGCGCACGCGCCGACACGCCCTCTTAGCGCTAGCCCTTCAATTTATGCCAAAAGTTTTCACTTCCTTCCTGTTACCTGCCTTGCATCTCGCTTCTTTGTCCTCCCCCTCCTGAGTCACCTTGGTTGCACTTTAGAGTCAGCTGCTCCCCAAACGCACAATGTACCCTCGAGAGCTTTCGCTGGCTGTGGATAGCAGGCCAGCAACCGTAGTCTTCTGTTTTCTTTTATCTGTCTAGCCTCCCTGTGAGAAATGTTTTGCTAAAAGACGCCCGCCCTCAAGGCCGAACGGTCAGCTAGGGCCTGTACTTGTTTTTTTTTCGATCTGGCCGGGAAATGTGGACCCCCGTACTGCAGGTAGCCTCGCACTAAATTTTAGCGGGGTACATATCCCCCTGTCCTAACTTACATCCAGACCCTTATAGTAACCCCAACACCCTCTGGAATTTAAGGCAAGGCCGCCTGTAATACGGAGGGGGTGGGTATCCATATTCCCGTATCCAGCCGTTTTCTCCTGCGGAAGTGTTTGTGCTCCATTTTCCACTCAGTTATGCCCCTCTTCTAGGCCGGCATGCTTGGCAGTTTATCCACTTGCTTCAGTACAGCTTAATCTTAGGTCCAAATTGGGCCTGTCTCCCTGCTTTACGTTGGCGTCCTTTGATGGCGACTAGCCTCCACGTTCATCTGTTTACGTTTTTCTTAGCCATAAAGCTGCTGGAGTGAGAATTATTTACCACTTTCCGGGACTGAACTGCGTTTATCGTGCACTCAGTCTGATGCTCCAGAACTAAACTGGCCTTGCTTGCCAAATTTTATTTTCACACTGGAAGCATTTCAGCAGGCTCTAAAGTTTGAGCATCAGATTCTGAGTCTCTTTCTAACCACCGAGTGGCGCGTTATTTCACGTAACATTCATAGGCCTACACAGCGTTCGCTCCGCATAACTAAAGCCTGGAATACTCTGCGCCGAAGCGAGGAATCCACATGTATGACAAGTTGGCTTATTTATTCACTGTCAACTGCAGGGTTTTATGAGTCTGCGAATGAACTGGTTAGCCCTTCTGGGAGGTCTTTCTGCTGTAATTTTTCACTCATTTAATGACTCCGGACTCAGGAAGAGTCATCGGCTCCCGTTGCCTCCCTTATAACTGATTACTCACACGGTTGTGGTTTAAATGAAGAGTTCAAGCTGGCTACTACCCCCAAACTCGCCTTAATTTTTTTCATCTCCAGCAGATCACAAAGTATCGCGCGCAACATAGTACTGAGTTTACCGAGTTCATAGTTATTCTTAAACACGGTCGTTCTGGTCAGCCGTTCGCCGCACTAGGTTGGGACTTGAAGGGAATTTTTAGCAATTGCGAATTTTCGAGGCTGTTTTTTTTTGTAGCCGGCCCTTCGGCCAGCGGAATGCCCAGACAGGAGGGTGTCGACATGGAGCCGTTTAGCTTTTTTAATTTGTTGGCATATGCGACGCGCCTGACCTCACCTAGCCATCTGCAAAACGGTAGTAGTCTAGGCACCCGTTCTGCTTTTAGTTTCTGTTCATCCCGGGAAGACGGGTTGCCCGTTAGCCTAGCTGCTGGCTACCCGGCGCGTCCACAGGTGGCGGATAGTGGGACGACCTTCAGTGAAGGTTAGCTGCGAAATAAGCAGACCCAGGTCTGACGAATAAGCAGTCTCGGACCAGCAGCGACATTGCTACCAGGGTGCGGTGGGCTGAAGTCTGGCACGCTGAAAGCCTTATAAAATGCTGCAAAGCCGGCACCGTTGCCCCATTGGAGGCGTCGAAGAGGGGGTCAGTTCAAAACCTGGCTCGACACTGTCCGTCAAGACATGGAGGTGGTTATTGGACCTTCGGTATTCGGTCTCTGTCGTTGGCGAAGGGAATGGGTTGGGCTGTCTAGATCTGCTGCCGCGGATCGTCACGCGTGGAGAGGTACAATTCGGGACATCATCGAGGCCGGCTAGATCAGGCATGATCGCAGCCGTATCAAGTACAAGTAAGTAAGTTCTGTTTCTCGCTTCTTTTTACGCTTACGGTTGGCTGGCTATGCATTGGAGGTCAAAATCGCCGTCAGGACCCCCAAGAACATGTTACAAAGTGGTGCGAAATCTAAAACAGACTGCACACACGCGCCTGACAGGCGTTAGACGACGACTTTTGCGCCATATCAGGTACTGAACGCGCCGCCTGTACAAAGTTAAACGGGGAAGGGGCGAAACACGCGTGTCTGGGCTTTTAGCTAATACCTGTGTTGTTAGTACGGTAAATTATTGCCCAATTCTTGGTAAATTGAGTTACGCGTATAAGCCAAAACAAATTTCGGTGTGTATACGCGTAACCCAGTTTACCAAGAATTCAACACTACTCAACAATGAATACCCTAGACAAAGAATTCCTTTGTTACTGTTCAAGCAAATCGAATTCCCAGCTCAAGGTCAGAATACAAAAACTAGTTAATTAAAAGAACGCCGAGCACGCTCGAAAGAGGGTTACAAAAAGGGGGAAAGGGGGTGTCAACAGGGGCCAAATGTGGAAGCAATTGCGAGGTGGGCATGGAGAATTCCAAGCGTTGACCAGCTGGATACAACAGGAACCATCAGGCTTTTACCGGCTATAATACAGTGAGTGACCGACCTTATGAAATGTTAACCGAAATTCGGAAATGCGTTTTCGATTGGGGAAGATCACTTAGGTGGGGTTGCAATATTCGTTATCATGCGGCGTAATGCCAGGATATTTTCTACTTGCCAGAATGTTGGCTTTTGAATGCACTTCTTTGCGACCTGTAAAAACCGCACTCGACAAAAAATAACTGCTTGAGTAGTAAGCCATTTTCGCATTGATTTTTGATGGCCTTATAAATATAGATATATTTTATAGAAAACACGCACAAAATACGCTTTATTACCCATTTGGTTGCAAATCACGCCATTTCCACATTTTATATTTGAAGAAAGAGTACCTTTCCGTTTTAAAGAAGCTTCTAATTATGAGATTTTTGAAGACCGTGTAATGTCCATTCATACAGCATCGTACTTGTCCGTTTACTAATGCGTCTCATGAAGTATACGAAATATTCCGCATCCATTGCAAAATTTTGTTAACTCTGCATGGTATCTTCTTAAAGGCACAGGGGAATGTATGGTCTTCTTTACGCGGAAAGCATACACTTTGTAGTCTGAAATCGCTAAATACTGATGGAACAGCTGATCTCGCTCAAAATTATTCGGGAATTAAAAAGACTTTTTCAAAATCTAAATTTGCCTTTTTTCGAATATATAGTGTTAAGGCGTGGTTTGCTGCCAAATGAGTAAAAGGAAACACATTTTGTGCGCGTGTTTGTATAAAATATACTCGAATTTATAAGGCCATCAAAAATCAATACGAAAAGGGAATAATATACAGGTAGTCACTTTTTTGCCAAGTGCGGTTTTTACAGGAGGTCGCAAAGAAGTTCATTCAAAAGCCGAAATTCCGGCAATTCCAAAATATCCTGGATTGCGCTGCGTGGTAATGAATATCACAACCCCGCCTGAGTAATCCTTCCTAATCGAAAATTAATTTCAGAACTTCGGCTAACATCTTATGAGATCGGTCGCTGACTGTAAGTAGGGCATGCTTTGATATTATCGGACACGCTAAAGCCGTGACTTGGAAGGTTGTCGACTGACGGACTAACTCAGTCCATCTCCGCACCGAAGGTCAGACTGCAATGACTCCATCTCTGTGTTGCATTTAGGACGGTTGTGCCGACCAGAGATTCTGAACGCTTATGAAGTAAACTTTGTGGGCGTGTAGGTACCAGCATGTGTGTGGTACGCGAAAGCATGGATTAAATCACTGCGCCCACGCCTCTCCCAATCATCTTGGCTCATTCTTCTTGTCAGTAGAACACGCTGGGTGTGCGAAGACAGAATATAGGGCTGATGGGGCGAAGATTGCCCTTGCTATGGTCCAATTCACGCGTGAGTCACCAGTACGTCGCTGGGACAGTGATGATTTTCGTCAGAAACGAGGAACCGGCCATAAAGTTGTTGTTTGTGAGGTTTTTTGTGCTTCAAAACGATTGTAACGGTAACATGTTAGTCCTTAAAACCTGTATGTGTGTTAGGCCGGTTCAGAGTAAAACCTGGCCCGCGCTCATACAGCGGCCGGGTATGCGGTAGACTTGGTGTAGACTGGGTTTTGCGCCAAGCAATGCGACCTTCCCGGGTCCTATTTGTTGACCCCCAGCCTCAGGAGGCACTTTGTTTTCTTCCTGAGATTCCGACTAAATTAGGCTGTGAAGTGTATTTAAGACCAAATCTCCACGTCAGTTGCTGCTTTCTAGGACATGTTCGTATTGGAGACCAGGGGACATGATGCTGTCTATTTTAGATCCTAACTGTATTTTCTCCTATGAAGGACTCAGTTGCTGTGTCTCTGAATTGCAAAATTACTCCTTCGGACATCTGACAGTCTTGTAAATCATTAAACACGATTCGGCCCAAGTTAATTTGCCGTTTTCGTAGCCTCCCCCAGTGTTTTAAATGGCACCACAGTAACGTCGTTTATGTTAGGATAGGGCCTTGTGTTCAGTAGTTTAATGGCTCCTTAATATGGTCCCTGGTAAATTCACTAGTGTGAGGTCCAGGTTAATTAAGTCTGTTTCGTGTGGAGTGACAGACTAGCATGTGCGTGCCATGCGTAGACGATGACCTTAGGCCAGGTTAGCCATCACGTCACGTTTACATCTTGGCTTTGTTTTGCTGTTGCAACACAGCGGACGTGAAAAGCGAGAGTGAGACTGATGCTTTGGAAGCCACCACTGACCTCCCAGGCAGCGCTGGATCTCTCTTACGGGGACCAACTGTCCTCATGTGATGTCCTGCGTTCCTAGTGAGAATATAACAATTTCATGCAGTAGCTTCTAAGTTAAATAGTATTTGTAGTCATGAGATTTTTGAAGATCGTGAAATGTTTGTTTAAATAACATCGCATCTGTCCGTTTTTAATACTCCTTTAGAGGTATACAGGATGGTTC